GTGTGTGTGTGTGTGTGTGTGTGTGTGTGTTCGGATATTTCAACTCGCTAACCACGCAAGCTTTGAAACTGGAATTTTGCCAGTATGTCCCACAGCTAAGTGCTACTCCAGGACCGCTGTATAAACTCTCACACACGTCTGGGCCCCGCGTACGAGCACGTGAGAGTTTTGGTGAGGAAACTGCTAACTCGGGAGCGAGAAAAGCTAGGAAGCTGAAACCATAGGGGAATGTCCCTACTCGTGTATGACAAAAAGATTTCAAATTCAGCTGCCCAGGACTGCCCGGGACTTGCGTGCGGGCACGTGAAAATTATGGCGGGAAAATTCATAACCCGGGAATGAGAAAAGCTAGAAGGTCGAAACTTTGGGGGAATGTTCCCTACTCACGCACGACCAAAAGTTTTCAAAGTCAGCTCCTTAGGACCGCCCGGGGCTCACGTACGGGCACGTGAAAGTCTTGACGCGGAAATTACTAGCCGGGGAACGGGAAAAGCTAGAAAGCTGAAATTTTATGACAATGTGCGAGCAAAATCAGATGTTTAGAAGCGCCCGGATCCATGTGCGAGCGCATGGAAATTTTGGCTGGAAGATTACAACCCAGGAACGGGAAAAGCTAGGACGCTGGAACTTTCGGGGGATGTTTCCTACTCATGTACAATCAAAATCAGGTGTTTAGGAACACCCGGGGCCTACTTACGGGCACGTGGAAATTTTGGCGCGAAAGTCACTAACTCGGGAGCGAAAAAAGTTAGAAAACTAAAACTTCATGGTATGTTCCTTACTTATGTATAACCAAAAGGTTTCAAATTCAGCTCCTTAAAACCGTTCGCTACTCACCTACGGACACGTGAAAGTTTTGATGGGAAAACTGCTAACTCGGGAACGGGAAAAGCTGAGGGCTTTAATTTTAAGGGGATGTTCCTTACTCATGTGCGATTAAAAGATTTCAAATTTAACTCTTCTAGTGTGGCCTTTTTCACGGACCAGCAACTTTCCATTTGTCGGGTCACTGAAGTCGACATCTATAACTGACATACCACACAGCTGCGCAATTAACCTTCCGAACTTCGAGGGCCAGTATGTCACAGGGTTAGCTACTGTGATTCCTTGCGACCTTGCTAAGGCACGAAAGTTGCAAAAACGCATAATCGCAGCGGCCCACCTGGTGCGTCCCAGCCTGGGTTATGCGTCTTTGCTGTGCAGCGCTGTAACGCTGCTACAGCCAGCAAAAAAGTGTATTGTCGAGAGGTGGTCTGTTTGTGTGTGTGTTCGGAAGCGAGTGCATTTTGTCAGCAACTTTGATCTCAGCAGTCAGGAAAGCTGGGAAGCTGAAATTTTGGGCATATGTTCTTACTCCGTGTGTTACCCTCCTGTTTTAAGATCTTCCCCCATACGCGCCGAGACCTCGCGTACGGACTCCCGAAAAAAATATGCATATTTCTTTGGCAGGAAACGATTTCGCGAACCAGGCAAAATACAAAGCTGAAACTTTGCAGAAATATTCTCTGTGCATGTGCGAGCTAAAGATTTAAAATTGAGCTGTCGCTCATGCTTCTGAAGTGCATACGATTACGTCAAAGTTTGCAACTTGGTATGTCCCAACTCGAAAACTTACACTACCCTTTCTTACTTGTGCACCCCATCACCTGTCCCTTCAGGATTGACCTGAAGGCTGCAACCTATTTGCCGAAAAACAGCTGATGAAATTTTGTCAGCATGTTTTTCGCCCATATGGGAAATCGCATACCTAAAATGAGTATCGATATGCATTTGCGCCATGACTTAGGGCACCTCAGAGATATTTGTAGCGAAGTGGATATTTCGCTTACCGGACAAGCTGCGAGGCTGGAAATTCGCTGGGATATTCTACTTTCAAGCATGGTTTTAATTCTGCTTAGAAGTGAAATTCCCTGCAGGTGGGCGTGAAAAATAGTCAACTTCACCGAAAAATCAGAAACGAGTGCGTTTTGCAGCGAAGCAACCGCCCTCATCCAGATATGTAAATGAACATTCG